TGTTGATTATATATTTGTTCTTGATGATTGATGTATAGATTATGTTGTTATTAGTACTAGCTAATTTTTGTTAAAATTGAAGTGGTTTTATCTTACTTTAACAGTTGTATGCATTTTTAATACTTCAATAAAAAAGTGTTGAAAATAAAAAAAGACAGACAAACAGAAATGGGGAGGGAAAAAAAAAGAACTCAAAGTATGATATGACTTGCACTGTGTTTTATGTAGGGACATTTTTATCACTTCAAAGAAAATTCCTTCTTAAAATACACACACACAGAGAGCAACTGCTACGTTAGGCCCTGTGTTTGTAGTGTCTAGGGTGATGGTTGACTAGCTGTTATGAGGGAATTCTGGGATTCCTTGGAAGCTTATTAGTGATTCCACTAACCAGAAAATCAAGAACATGCTTCCCTGAAAGGAAAACTATCAGTCTCCCCATGCGTGGCCACAGGAGAGTGTTCAGTGTATTGTAGTGCACACTCCTGGCTCACCTGTGGTGAACCTTAGCCTCAGAAAGCCAGAAAGGTGTGTATGAGCCTTCAGTGCCTATCTGCCATGACCACGGGTTGCATGGGAGGTCGGGTTGCCAGCCCCCAGGTCCGGGCGGGGGTTCCCTTGCATCTGGGGGTGTCAATCCGCCCCCAGCCAGCTGGCCACTGAATAGCTGGAGAGCTCTTTAAATCTAGCAGAAGGGAGGAAGAGGGGCAGTCGCAGGCCGCACGTTCGGCTTGCTAAAAGACCCTTTAAAGGGTCTTTTTGTGAGCAGGGTAGGGCCGTGGCGCACGGGGCAGGAGGGGAGGGAGAGGGGTGGCCAGGCAAATGGTTGTTCAAATGGTTGTTCTTGGGGGTGGGGCTTGGGGGGCATCCCCCCACCCCCAGAACACCACCCCCCAAATCTGCCCACCCCAGAGCAAGGTGGGGACCTGGCAACCCTAATGAGAGGTGTGAAGTGGGTCCTTGCTACAGACCTGCAAAGAGCTCCCTGAAGATTGAAACGTTTGAAAACAATTGCTCTGGAGTGCTCTTTTTTTTTATTCTCTTTCAAACACACTTATCTTATTTCCTTTCCCATGTACTTTGGAGGGCCTATTGCTGAATGGAGAGCTTGTGTTGTATATACAAGAAAGTCCTAGATTTATATTCCTAGTATCTCCAGTTAAAGGAAGTGCTGGTAGCTGGGCTGAGAAAGACCTTTGCCTAACACCTTGAAAGAATTGCTGCTAAAAGGTGTTGGGCTAGCTGGACCACTGCTCTGACTCTGTAAAAGGCAGCTTCATTTGTGCTTTCTTATTATTGTAATCGGAGCTAAATATCCATGGTAGGCTATAACCTCCCCACCCTGCCCCTGCTCTGAAATGTATCTGAACTGTCTGACAAGCCGAATATGCCATATGTCAGTGCTGACACATCAATATCAAATATTTATATCTCTTTGAGAGTAATATGAAGGGGTGCAGCAGTCGACACAATAAACAAAATATAATCTGTTTAAAACAGCCACTAATATCCTCACATAATTATACAGGTGTGGACTCATCCTTTCTTCTGGTTCTTTAGCCAAGTAGAACATTGAGACCCCGAGTTCTTAATATTGTAGAGGTATCACTTTCAAGCAGTGTCTGTCTTTTTCTTCCCTCCCTTTTTTAAAGAGGGGGAAATGGTGGAAGCAGATTGTTTAAAGAGGCCTTGCTGTCCTTCCTTTTGCCAGCTGCAGGGTGGGATAGCCACTGAGAGGCCCTGGTCTGGGAGAAGACATGCCCCAGTAGACTTGTGGAGGGAGCATTATTGGGTGTCTGTAACACACTGCCTTCCACCACCGGCATTCTTTTCCTTCCCCATCTTTAATCCCGGTGTGGTGTGCAGAAGAGATATCTGCCTTTTGAAGCACAAATTATTTTGTGGAGTGTTGTGACACTGGCTCTCTCTCCTCAACCCCAGTGCAAGGAGAAGTTCCCAGAACAGTGTCATAAGGTTTTGTCTCCTTTTAGGTGAGAGAGTCTTGCAATTACCTTGTTTTCCCCTTTCCCTTTTGTCTTTCTAGTGCCTGATGATGAGTCGTGGATATTCTGAAAACAATAATTTCCCATATGACAATAATCAAATGGTTTTGGACATGATCCTCTGCTCTTTAATTGGGGTTCCTCAGCCTATAAACTGGGACAGCGTGGCAAGGCTAGTGCCGGGCTATTCATCCAAAGAAGTAAGTTTTCTTTGTCTTTTCCTGGCTCCAAATTCTTACACAGAACAGTAGAAAGTTGCTATGACGCTGAATGGGGTAACCAAAGAAGACAACTCCATGATATCCCCAACATACTTATTACGTTGCCAAAGTTCTACCAGAGTTGGAAGGTTTTGCTTAACTTGAATCTGTCATCCTGAACCTTAAACATACTGCTTGAATGTGAACTTGAGGTAGAAATCTAATCGGACAAGATACTATTATCACATCAACAGTTAGGCGATATTTTGATACTTGGACAAGATACTATTATCACAACATCAACAGTTAGGCGATATTTTGATACTTGAGGTTTAAGATTAAGAAGTTCTGACTTATGGCTGGGCTGTCAAGCATGCACCCTGCTCTCAAAGGCTTTTTGCAGAGCAAAGTTGCACAGTAATTAACGCAAGGGTGGAAGATGAGATGAAGACTCTGCAAATGAAAGCCAGTTTCAGTTGAGCTCAAACTATGTACCACTTGTGAAGAGAATACCCTGCCTTCTTCCTATCTAATGTCGTCTCCATCAGAACATTGTTTCTGATTTTTAAGACTTTTGTGTTGCACAGGAATGCATGAGAGCAGTGTTCCCTCTAAGCTGAGTTAGTGTGAGCTAACTCACAGTTTTTTAGCCTCTGGCTCACACATTTTTGTCTTAGCTCAGGAAGGAGGCTCCAGAGCAAACTAATTTATGCAGTAGCCAAATCGCTCGCTCACATCTTTAATGCCAGTAGCTCACAAAGTAGAATTTTTGCTTGCAAGACTCCACAGCTTAAAGGGCACTGCATGAGAGTGAATCAAATGTACATTGCAGCCAGGGCAGAGTTTATATTCATGTTAGGAACTAATTGAAAACAAATTTTAAGCATTGCTTTGTGACAGTGAGCTTACATTGACCCTTCTTCAGCACTGAGTTTCTGTAGTTACCAGGCTGTTGTTGTGATTTCTAAAGGGAGAGAACTAGATGAGTAGGGAGGCGGCGTAAGCCATCCACTGTGACATCACTGGGCTGCCTTGTCTACTTCTAGAGCTGACGTTTATGGAGTGCTGTGATGTCATGGTGCTATAGAAGGATGAATTGAGCTCGTGCTCCTTCTCTGCTAATGTGCTTCCCCAGCAACACTGAAGGAGACTTTGGGTTACATTACTTTTGCTAAATCCTCATTGGTGGTGGGTACCTGTTATTCCGGCTTCCTGTGAGCCTGTGAATTTGTGGTAAGAATACTGCTTAGACATCTGACAGGGTCCTGGTTTTCTAGCTGTCACCGCAGATTTGGGCCTCTTTCTGTGACTACAGCCCTTTCTTCCCACCTGCCTTTTCATAACAAAGTGAAAAGAAGAGAAAGACTGATGCCTCACAGGATCCTGGAAGTGAAAGATTCTCTGCCCTTGCCTGGCAATCTATGGGAAAATTGGTGTCGGTGTGCATTTGCAGAGAGTGTGCTGGGAAGGACGATTGCCACTGAAGGATTTCGCTCTGTGTACTCTTCTGTATAAATGCTCAAGTGCCCTCCAGGGATTCTGATATATATTTGACTTGGCATAACTAGGACATAGTTATCAGATGGTTCCAATTTGCAAACTTGTAGTAAGACCTGAAGGAATGGTACAGAGTGCTTACCTTTGTTGCCTGAACGTAATATTTCAAATTATGATGTTACACTTTGGACTTTGGGCAGGACCGTAGCTTAGAGATGTGCTGAATTTGTGTGCTGAAGGTTTTGGTTTCCTCCTCTGCACTGACATTTTCTTTTAGAAGGATCTTGTGTTGTATGGATGGGGAAGACCTTTCCTTGGGAGATTTGAAAGCTGTTGCCAGAAAATAGCAGGCTTGAGGTACCGGTTGTTTGGTGGGTTAGCACAACTCCCTTACTGCCAGTACTGCGGGTACATAGGCTGGTGCAAATATTGTGGATTAGCATGTTCGTGTCACAGAAGCAAAATGCGCTTACAGATTTTGTGTGCAGATTTTGAAACAGTTTTCAGATTGGATTAGCATGTTCGTGTCACAGAAGGAAAACGTGCTTACAGGTTTTGCTTGTGTGCAGATTTTGAAACAGTTTTCAGAATCTCAGTTGCAGGTTACATGAAAATCTTGTAACCTGTGTCAGACAGTCCCAGCATCAGGATGAGAATGGTTTTACAGCACTAGAATGGAGGTCCAAACCATAGCTGGAGGTGGGTGGGTTCAGCCTTGTTTTGGGCTGCCGGATCAAGCACTGAGCGCTTCCCATGTCTTATCTTTTGACAGTGTGCAAAAAGGTTTGATGAACTGAAAAGCAGTGGAAATTCTCCAGTTGATAACCATTATAACCCACTAATGGCCAGTGGTGGAAGCCCTGTTGAAATGCTAGCCACTTACATAAAATCCTCGCTTCTTGATGCCCAGGGAGAGTTACAGGACCCTCCTAGTGAACAAGATGCCATTTCCACGAATGGTAGGTTTTCAGATGGTTCTTCTCTGGAACATATCAGATGAAAAAAATGGTATAAGCAATGCTATGGCAAACCTCCTCCCAGCAACTTCAGTTGCTCATCCTCAAAATGCAGGTATTCATTTTTTAAAATATTGATCCATCTAGATATCTTGATTTTTATTAGTTGGCCTGGTTGGTGTTCAAAGTACCGAAATGTGGTTGCGTGTCTTTATCCCTCCCACTGTTGTTTTGATTCCCTTGTAATTCTGTTAATAAGGGTTACTTTAGAAAGTTCTGACAGCTTTATAATCCAGAGGGGTTTCTTTTAATAATTCAGAACTTCAAAGGCTTTTTTTTAATAAAAGAAGCAAGTTGGTGTTTGTGCATAAACTTAGCAGCTGCTGGTGCTATCATCCTGCAGAGACCTCTATATATAGTTTAAGTGAATGAAATGTCATGTGACGTCTTCAAGATTAATGGGTTTCTTGTAGCCTGAGGATTTATGGCTTGTGCAAGCTGTTTGTGAGGATTAAGCCTGCAGTAATAAATCATAAGCCAGTTAAAACTGCTATAAGGGTGCTTCATTTTGGTACATGTGAGAAGGGCGATAACGACTCTGATAGAGCACATGCTTTGCGTCTCAAAGGTTCAGTCTCAAGTTAAAGCCGCTCAGGCTGGACTAGGGAAGACCTCTGCTTGAGACCCCGAATGGGTGTGAAGCTGTCTTCCACTGAGGGACAAACTGCACAAGATGTTCCATGGACACGGCTTGCTTCCCCTGCTGCCTCACAGAAGCGGTAGGCAAAATCCAGTTAAAACCCTGCAGGGTCCCAGTTCGGCCTCTGGACTGGGGGGGGAGGCTCCTGCGCCCTCCCCCCCCGTGTGCTGTTATCCTTAAACTGAAACAGCCTCAGGGGAAATTATTTGCCCCTTGTTGTTGGAGCTGCATGTTCAAATCTGACTTTGAGCCTGACCTTTGGCCAGTCTAAATATTGCTCTCCTCTGTCTGGCAGCGAGTATCCTCAGTTTCAGGCAGAGACAGACCTCTCTGGGCTTTTGCTACCCAAGTTACTTTAAGTGGAAATGTCATGAAGAGCATATGTATTGGCCTAGAAAAGCAGAGAAAAGAATGAAAAAGTGACGGGTGGCAGTATTTATTCATTCGTTTGAAATGAATATCCTGCCTTACCTCTGTGGACTCAAGGTTATTAAAGAGAACAACAGTTGCAAGGATACCAAAACACTAGAATGCGATAAAACAATGTACAGGTTAAAAACTCAGTCATATCTATTTTTTTTTTAAGTTTACCCCCCCACCACCACCAGATTGGCACCAGATACCTTCCTGTATGCAGGGAGTGAAGGTTTCTTCTGTGCCTATTCTTGGTAGGCCATTCTAGAGGATGGGACTGACCAGAGAGAAAGACAAAGCCTAACTTTTGCCATACACAGACCATCTTAAGAGCAGTATAAGATAGAGACATGGCTGTTGACACAGCACTTGTGCTGTATCAGACCACTGGTTTGCCTAGCTCAGCGTTATGTGCTGTCATTGGCAGGAACTCTTTAGGATCTGAGGCAGAGAAACCTGCTGTCTGAGAGCTTTAACTGGAGATACCAAGGATGGAACCTGGGATTACAGAGAAACCTGCTGTCTGAGAGCTTTAGCTGGAGATACCAAGGATGGAACCTGGGATTTTGCATGTAGAATGTGCTCTACCATGGAGCCGTGGCCCCCTGCCCAAGAGACCAAGAGAAGACAGATGGACGGTGTTAAGGTGAGGTAGCTAGGATGGCAGATGCTGGGAGAGGAGGAGATGAGTGATATTGAGAACATGTAGTAAAGGGGCTTCCAGGGCAGGAGAAAAGACACAAAAGAGAGAATGAGATTCTCTTACAACCTGCTGAATAGGTAACTAGGTAACACAGGATTTGTTGTAAAGTTGCTGGCCAAAAGGAGCTGCGGTGGCTCAAGTGGTTAAGACGCTGAACTGTGGGCTGTGGAAGGTCAGTAGTTCAGCAGTTCGAGACCCGGGTGCCGCATGATGGAGTGAGCTCCCATCTCTAGTTCCAGCTTCTGCCAACCTAGCAGTTCGAAAGCAAGAAATTGCAAGTAGATAAATAGGTACCACTTCGGTGGGAAGGTAACAGCGTTCCGTGCACCTTGGTGTTTAGTCATGCCGGCCACATGGCCACGGAAATGTCTTCGGACAGCGCTGGCTCTTCGGCTTGGAAACGGAGATGAGCACCGCAACCCTAGAGTCGGATTCGACTGGCTTTCAAGCAAGGGAACCTTTACCTTCTGGCCAAAAGGTTGGCTGCAGGTTTTTAGCTATAGTGGTAGTTCCTGGGCAGGTCCTAATATATAGCTCTAGTAATAAGGAGCCCTGACCTGGATGGCCCAGGCTAGCCTGATTTCATCAGATCCCAGAAGCTAAGCAGGGTCGACCCTGGGTAGTATTTGGATGGGAGACCACCAAGAAAGTCCCAGGCTGCTCTGCAGAGGCAGGCCATGGCAAACCAACTCTGAACGTCTCTTGCCGTGAAAAGCCCATGGAGGGTCTCCATAAGTCAGCTGTTGCTTGACAGCACTTTCCACCATCGATAATAGGGAGCTAGCTCAAGGTTTTTTTGTTTGTTTGCTGTAGATATCTTGTTGACCTAATAGATCCTGGACTTTGTCTCAGTGCTGTCAAAGAGATCCCATCACTATTTATTTGGAACAGGAGGGACGTTTTGAATAGTAAAGGGAGCATAAACTGGTTTGTTCATGCCACATTTAAGGGCAAGTCTACCAGATAGGAATTTCCTTGCCTACCCCCCCCCCCCTTTAAGCAAGAAATAGGCAGTGCATGGAATTATATTTGGGGAGGAAAAAAGGTAGACAACCAGGCTGAACGGAGTTAACTGATAGAGCATGCGTGCGTGTGATTCTTTCTCTGTGTGCTGTGGGCAGAATGCATGGACATTGTGCTTGGAGGCAGGGGTTTGCCAGTGTTAGAAGGTGCAGCAGCCTATTTTCATCTTCCCATAGAGAGGATAGTTCAGGAGAGAGAATGTACTTAATAGGTAGCTAAGATGTTTCCTGTGGTGCTTTTATTTCTCCCTACCTTTTTCTTTTTAAGACAAGCCACTTGAAAATGATTTGGTTTCGTGTTATTTTTTCCCCTGGAGTGGATTCAATTGCCTTTGAAAAAGTGTGCAAAAGGTTTCCTTCTGGCAGTGTCTCCCTTGCCTCTGGGCATGGGACCACCAGTTGCAGACACATATGAGAAACACCATCTCGCTGTCACGATGTCCTAATGCTTTTTCTCCCCCCTTGTATTTAAGGAAGGCCAAGTGTAGCTTCCTCAAGGAATTGCTCTTCAGAAAGTGAGAAATGCCCTGCACATAAAGGTGGAGAAAATGCTGATGAAACACAAGGGTAGGAGGATGGTTGTTTGCTTTTGGGAAAGCTAGGTAACGCTGAGATCTGTGAAATTCTGGTTGTTATACACATATCCCCCCCCCCCTTTGGGATTTAGCATAGGCATATTTGGTGGGTTGGGGATATGTGGGTGCTTGTGGAAGGAGTGGGTGTTGTTGGCCTTAAGGGAAGAAAAGGCAGTGTATAAGCGCATTCCCTAATTAGTTCCTTGAAAACAAATGTACAAATCCGGGGAAAGCCTAACTATTCAAGAATTTGCAGATTCCTCCTTATTGTTGCAATTTGCTCCAGCTCTGAAAATCTGGGAGTCTTCAAGTGTCCCATACTTCTCCCATCTTTAAACAGTCAACATAAATGGTCTGGAGAGGACTGAGATCTCTGAACACAGTTTGGGGGTCTCCCCACAATCTGGGGGGGGGGAGAGTTTAGTTGTGATTGGCTGGCACAGCATTCTTTTATTGCAGCTCTACATTTACACTGAGGAAAGAGGGGCATGTTTCCATATCAATTTGCTACTTTTTGCAGTTTCAGTAAGGACAACCTTTTACTTTTTATTAACAGACCAAAGAACCGCACCATGTTTCGGAGGAAGGGGGTAAAATGCCCTTATAAGGGTGTCTGTCTCCCCCCCCCCCCCCGTGCCCCATGTACATTGTGCCAAGCTTTTTAAGATGTTGCTTATGGGAAGGATATGATCAGTGATATCACTTCTACCTTTGTCCTGCTGACATTTGTACTTTGAACCCTGAGAAAGCCAGTCAAGAGTTCACAGACCTTTTGTAGAGCAGTAATGTTCAGATTTTCCAGGCTGTTCCTCAGTAAAAAGGCATGTTATGGCTATCCTTCCTTGCTGAAAAGCTGCTTGTTTACCAAACTAGGCCATGGAGAAGTATGGAATAAGTAGTTTTGCTTTTGGTTCATGGGATAAGGGCCAGTGCTTCCCGCACAGACTGTGTTTATATGCGAAAGGTGCCCAAGCATCCTCTGTGACAGGCATGGGGTATGTAACAGAAAGGCAGGAATTCCTGAGCATGCGTATAGAGTTCTTTTTCTTGCAAAACATTTCCAGGGAAAGGGTCTATATTGTAAAAGCATCCTCTTTTGCCTGTGTAAAACTTTTGGATTTTGGTTCCCTCCCCAACCTCTTCTGAAATCAGAGACAATATGCATTTCCATGCCAATAAAGGCTACTTAACTTAAACATGCACAGGATATCTGTGTGCGAATTGCATTGAGTCCAGGACATTGTTGGGGTTAATGAACACAGGAGTTTTATCTCAGGGGTGACTCTCTGCAAGAAAGAGTAGCGTGAATTTACCCAACGTCCTCTGTCTTGGAGCAAAAGCCTCTTGCAGCCTGTCTTTATATCCTGCTATCAAAGGAAACAAAATCCAGAACTTGCACAAAGTTGCATTCCTCAAAATGTGGATGAGGTTACATTTTGTAGCAAATAGTTGCTCATGATTTGTTGAGGACAATTACAGTGAAATGGAGATGAAGCAGCTCCTAAAATAATATATTGTTAGTACACACATTGTCTTCACATTGATACCAGGGCTGGGTATAATCCATGCTAAAGGAATTTAAACAATTTGCACCCCTGCAATCCAAATTCTCCACCAACAAAAACCAGATTTTTAATCTGTTTAATATATACAATTTAAGCGCATTTTATATAGCTCATACTGTAATTTTTTAATTGTTGTTTTGCATATATTTTGTATTTTTGCCAACTATGGTGATGGGCAAACAGTTATGCTAAAGCTGCCCGCCAACAGTGGACTGTATATCCAGTCATTCCTTTGGCTCTGGAGAACTCAGCATGCATTTCCCATGCATTATGAAGTGCATCCTTCTAGACTAGACTAGAATTATGAAGTGCATCCTTCTAGACTAGGACTAGAAACATAGCAATGTTTGTAAAACTTGGAGCCAAAATATACATTACAGAAAGTACATGTAACAGTGTCCTGAATCTTTTTTAAAAAAACCCTGAAATGCTGCTTCCAGTGACTGGGAGCTGAAGTGGCAATATGGCAGCGGGTTTTTGTGTTGTTTTGCACTTAACCCTTTGGCTCACAATTGTCTCTTCCAGGTGGGTTTCCACCAGCAGCTGATAGAGAAGCTGGATAACAGTTCAAGAGTAAAGAGTTAATCGGCCCTCCTTCCTTTCATTCCTCCACTCAGACCTGCACCTTCTTTTGGCTGCTTTTCATTAAAAAGAAGAAAAAGCAAACAAACTGGGAAACTCTTACATGGCAGACTTGTAGGATCTAGTTTGGCTCTCATTCTCAGAAAGTGGAAGTTTGCACCTGTGGTCATATTCTTCCTGCTTTCTGTTGTTTTTGTGAAACTGTTGCATATGTACAGTCCTGATGAATGCCCCCCATTATTAGCTGGAGATGCCAAAACTGAGAGACAGGGACTTGCCCAAAGCCTTTCTTTCGCTGTGAGTTTTTGGAGAAGCTGAGATCTGATACCAAATTTTGCAAATTCACCTAGCACGCTATCCCACCATGTCAAAATTATTCCAATTTAGTCTGCATTCTTGTCATATTTTAATCTTCCTCCTGCAAACATACTTAATTGAAGTCTTAGTTACATCTTCAGATATCTATATAATTACCACACAAATGTATGCCGAAGACACCATCTGTTTGATTTTTTTCTCTTCTGGATGTATGTTTCACATAGACTTAAAACCTAATTGAGGGGTAATAGAACCATTCCTGACAATAAAGTTAAAATAACGTTCTTCCTTGTGACTTTTGTTTCTTTTCAAACAAAGGCCAAATATGGTGATCCATGTATGTGATGAAGCAAAAAATCTGAAGGAAGATTTTGTTTGCCCACGCGATCTTTTGATTTCTGAAATGAAGTACTTTGCTGAATATCTGTCAATGGATGCCCAGCGCTGGGAAGAGGTGGACATTTCTGTTCACTGTGACGTTCACATCTTTAACTGGTTGATAAGATATGTTAAAAGGAACACTAAGGAGTATGAGGTGCATGAAATCCCCGCCTTAGGTAAAAGAAAATCTATTCATTTTTGCTGCAAGATTCCCTTTCTGAAAAGCCTGACTTCTTATTCAGACTAAAAGTCTGTAAGCCAAATTATTTTGCAAGGTAAATTTCCCTGCCCTGTTCTCTGCTGGATAGTAAAAGCCCAGTGTGTAGCAGCTGGGGAATCTGATGTTGGCTGGAAATATTGGGTTTGTTAGCCTGGTGGAGGAGAAGCACACTGTCTGATCTCCTAAGGATGGTTAGGAGATCAGGGATGCCATGTATGTTTGCACGTACCAGAATTTGCAGTCTGGTTCTCACCATGGTTGCAAGTGCTGATTTGCAGCTAACCATGGTTTATGCAAAACAAACAAAATGTTCCTGTGTAATGCTAACCATGCTTAACTCTGAAAAGAAAGGGGAAAATCCAAATTCTGGAAGGTAGAAGGAAGGCAGTTAACTATGGTTGAAAGACTGAGGAGTTTCTGTCCAGCAGCCTGTTATGAAAATGATGCAGTCCTTTGGACTCACAGTAGCATGCAAACTAGAGAAGGTTCAGAGGAAAACAGCAATGTTTATAAAAACCAATTAGATATATAAGAAAAGATTAAAAGAAATGGACACATGTAGATAAAGAGATATAGGTTATAGCCTGAATGCTGGATGCTTCATTTTATCCAAGTTTGGGATTATTGTAAAATAATCTAGAAAGCCTTCTTGAGTGAGAATGTAAATAGGTTTACGTTTTGAAGGATTACACAAAATCATCTGAAGCAGTGAGCAGTGACTCATGAAAGCTCATACCCTGCCACAGATTTTGTTATTAAGTTGCTACTAGACTAGTGCTCTTTTCTACGTAAAATCTTAGTGTTGACACTTGGTTGCAATCCTGAAAATACTAGAGGCTTGTATTTCTTACATTGATTTCAGTGGAGAAGAACATGCTGAAATCAATGGCATTTCCAAGCGCTCAAGGCTGGGTAAAAATCTGAATGAATGAATAAATAAATTTTCAGTTGCTTCCAATCCTGTACTTACTGTTCTTCAAAAGTTACATTGTTCCATAGTGAGTTCTTGACATCTCATGGCCAAACTAGGTGAGACGGGCACACTTGCTGCCGCTGTGTTGAGATCCCAGTCTGCCCCAATTGTGTATAAGTCGTGTTTGTCACTAGATGGACCATCAGCCTGATCCAGCAGGGCTCTTCTTAAGTATGGATGTAATAGCATGCTAAGTATTAAAATGGTCCAGTGTGTTCTCTGCTATGCTGATTTCCTACTGGCAGGAAGATTTTGATGAGGGCAGCACTAAAAGTAGGATTTCCCTCCATCACCCCAGCCTATCATTCAATATGAAGTGGTTTATCCGTTCTGATGCCTCAGAAGTCTTTCACATCATTGTGCTGTGTATGTGGCTTGATTTGCCTCCAGGAAGTGAGTTTTTAGAACAGGTTTTATGTTAATCCCCTTTGGATGACTAGGGATGGTAGGGGGGGAAATAAGGAGGCAGAGAGCTATTAGGGCTCAGATGTGGCCTGAATGCAAAGGACTGCTTTCCTTTTCAGAAAACACCATGTCAAGATATATACTAGTTCTATAGAAGGGACCGAATCCAATACCCACTCCCTCTCTCTCTTGCCTATTCCTGATTTATGGAATGTGGATTTTGCGATGCAAAGAATCTCTTGTAGTGTTTCTTTTTACAAATCATGCAAGTAAACCTTAATTACTCTTAACAAACTTTTTACCTTGTTCTTTTGATTCACTTTTTAGAGCCAAGCAATGTTATTTCAATTCTCATTTCCTCGGAATTCCTGAAGATGGATTCCTTGGTGAGTATATGCAGACAGACTGGGAATTCTGAGGCTCAGAAGCGCCACTTAACATTGCGGAAGGCAGTGCATTCCCCCTATGGCCCTAGTCCAAGTGATCCAGTGTTTCCTTTAGCATCCATGTATGTTACCTCTGCGATGGTGCTGTCCTTAAAGGGACACTCATTTCAGAAATGATGGGCACTTTTTTTTAAAAAAGAGTATTCCTGTCTGGTTGACTTTCTTTTAATAGCAGCATTGTTGCAACTGAGATATGCCAAACAAAACCCCAAAACCTAAGGGAAAAAAATTAATAATATGGGAATAGTTTGAATGTATGTGTACTTAAGAATTGTAGCTGGAGGACTGAACCTATCTGTTCTGGCTTCAGGGGTGCTTTAGCGCCCCCCCCCCGCCCCCCGTGTTGACATTCCGTGTAACAGACATTCAAAAGAATGTTAGAGGAGCCCTGCTAGATCAGCCAGTTGGTCAGTCTAGTCCAGCATCCTGTATTGCACAAGGGGAAGGGCAACAAACAAGGCACAGAGGCCCAAGGCTTTCTCCTTAATGTTGCCTCCTGGCCCTGGGTATTCGGAGATTTTATGCCTCTATTTTAAAAGGTTTTTTATTAATCATTTCAACAAATACAACAATAATACAATAATAGTAGAACAAAAACAAACTTTCACTACATAACACTGAGTTTTGTCATTATATAGTTCTCTGAGATTTTATGCCTCTTGATGTGGAAGTTCTGCTTAGTTAATCTGGCTAGTAGCCATTGATGCACCACTCCTCCGTTAATCTGTCTAAACCTGTTTTAAAGCCATCTATGCTAAGGGGAGAGGGAGAAGAAGTTCTCTTCACTTTCTCTGTTCCATGCAACATTTGATAAATCTGTATCATAATTCAGGTTCAGTCCTTACAAATAAGCCTGTTCAAACTTGAAGATAATCTGCTCAGTTTCTTCACACATGACTGTGCTGATTATTTGTGAACGAAACGAGGGATCAATTTGTGTAGCTATTCTTTGCCAGGCTGTGTGTGGATTCTAACCCAAGTTAATAGTTTTTTACAAACCTCCTTTGCAGCACTTGAATTCCAGGCTTTTGAGCCCCTGCCACTTGTGAAGGCCTCCCTCCTCTATTCAATGCTTCCCCCCCTCCCCCCGTGGTTATGCCCATATGAATATCGCCATCATGTGTTTCTGTGGCTGTGTGCCTGGCTGAGGAGGGCATCTTTGCACTGCTTTCGTTTACTTTATCCAGATCCACCCATGTTATGATCTCAGGCCGGGTCTCACTTTAGGCCACTACCTTGTGTCATCCACAATTTTGTTTGTCTGTTTTTCACAGGTGGAAAAATGTATTCACTATTGCCACAAAAATATGAGTGCTATTGTAGCCACACCATGCAACATGAACTGTATCAATGCTAATCTCGTGACATGCATAGCTGATCTCTTCACGCATAATGAAGTGGAGGAGGTGAAGGACAAGAGAGATAAATTTAAGAGGTGGTACTTTTTAATTCCATTGCTGTGTACTTTTTCACACAGCAGCTTGTCACCTGCCCTTTTGTATTCCATTAGCATCGTTCACAGCCACCTGTTGATTAAGTCTTATGATGGATTGGTGACCAAAATGTGGATTTTGAATCCTTGTGATATTAAACTGATCTGTGAAAGTGTTTGTAACAATAATGGTTGCAACATATAGAGGTGCAGCTTGGCTTTGGACTTGAATGTCTGAAAAAAGCAGACGCCTTCCTCCATGCTGTATGACCGCCAGAATGGTGTAGTGGTTAGAGCGTTGGACCAGGGTCTAGGAGGCCCAGGTTCAAATCCTCGTTCCCCAATGGGGAAAAAAAGGGGTATAAACATCATATGCCAATAAAGGCTTGTCAAAGTAAGGTATAAATGTCTCAATAATTGCTCTTGAAGCTGTTGTACCCAGATCACGTATGAAGAGCATAAGAAGAGCTCTGCTGAGTCAGACCAATGGTCCATCTAGTCCCACATTCTGTCTCAAACAGTGGCCAACCAGTTCTTCTGGTGGGCCAACCACAGAGCACAGAAGCTGAGGCCTCCCCTGATGTTGCCTCCTGGCACTGGGATTCAGAGGCTGGCTTCCTCCAAATGTGGAGGTTCCCTTTAGTCACCATGACTTGTAGCAACTGATGGACCTGTCCCTCCATGAACCTATCTGATCCCCTTTTAAAGCTGTCTATGCCTGTGCCCATCACTACTACTACTACTACTACTACTACTACTACTACTACAATTCTAGTAGTAGTAGTTGGAAAAGGAGGAGGCCGAAGTGGGCAGGGTAGGAGTGAAGGGGAGGGTGCCAGCTATGATGGAAACCGTTGCTGTCCTCAAACCAAAAGCCTGGTGGAACATCTCTGCCTTGCAGGCCCTGTGGAATTGCATTAAGTCCCGCAGGCCCCTGATGGAGGTTGGCAGAGAGTTCCACCAGGTCAGAGCCAGGGCTGAAAAAGCCCGAGCTCTGGTTGAGGACAGCCAGATACCTTTGGGGCCAGGGATCACCAGCAGATTATTCTCAGCAGAGCACAATGCTCTCCTGGGGACATACCAGAGGAGACGGTCCCAGAGATACGCAGACCGCTCAAGGCCTTAAAGGTCAATATCAACACCTCGAATCTGACTCAGTACTCCACTGGAAGCCAGTGTAGCTGGCACACCACAGGTTGTATATGTGCCGTCGTTGGCGTTCCTGTCAGGACTCGTGCAGCTGCATCCTCTGGCAGCGAATTCCACATTTTAATCACTCTCTGTGTAAAGAAGTGTCTCCTTCTGATTAAAGTCCGCAACACTTCATACATTCTGTTGTGCAGGTGTTTTTCCTTCTCCCTCACCCTTTTCATTTTTGGATGTCTCTTTGAACCAGCATTTCTGGCCCATCCAGTGTTGTTTACTCTGACCGGCAGTGGCTGTCTGGGATCTTGGGGTAGAGAAGAGCACGCGCACACAGACATGCTCACCTGCCGTCCGAGATGTTTTATCGAGAGGTGGCAGAGACGAAACTTGGGACCTTCAGCATGCTACGAGTTGAATCCAGACTAAGTTTACTGGCCGTGGAATGGAACTTTCCTGCCTCTCCCCCCTCAGCCCACTGATCTCTACAAAGTGGCACACCTGGGGGATAGGGCCCCTGAAGGGGTAACATGAGGGTGTCTGCAGTGAGAAGGGGGATCTGGTGGAAGCTGCCAGTGGGCTGCAGTGGGAAGGGGGATTGGTGGAAATTGCCAGTTTTAGTCTGGATCCAGCCCCAGACATGTGCTTCACCACTAAGCCAAAATCTTCCCCCAGACAGCCGGAGAACTGGTGGGTGAGTGGGAAAGAAATACTATGTTGGTCATCCCCGAGCCCATGGTTAGTAACTGTTTTTTCAATTCGTCCAATGGCCACAACATGTCTCTTACTTCCCTGAGGCACTAGGACTTATGTCTTTAATTTCATAACTGCCCCATATTTTGGGAACTGAGAAGAGACCAGAATCTCTGCAGAGACTCAACGTTTAAAATTCTCTTATTTTTAGTTTTATTTATTTATTTTACTTTATTTATAGCCCACCTTTCTCCCCAGTGGGGACTCAGAACTGTTTATATCATTCTTCTCTCCTCCATTTTATCCTCACAACAACCCTGTGAGGTAGGTTAGGCAGGGAGTGCATGGCCGGCCCAAGGTCACCCAGTGAGCTTCCATGGCACAAGTAGGGATTTGAACCTGGATTTCCCATATCCTAGTCTGACACTGTAACCACTACACCACTCTCGCTCTCTTACTTGTAGAGAAGTGCTTCCTTTCTATTTTCTATATAAAGCAACACTTTAATTTTGAGCAACTTGTGTTTTCCATTTTTTAAAAAATCTTTCTTCTCTTGTTTGTTACTGACAGCAAACTTTTTTGCAAGAAGATAGAAAGGTTGTTTGATCCCGAGTACCAGAACCCAGATTCTCAGGGCAGCGCAGCAACACTATATAGGTACAGTGCTGTCCCCCCTGTTTCGTCTAGGCTTGGCATGCTCCTCTTTTCCATGGTAAAATCTTTAGTTCCAACTTCATGCAGTAATCTCGTATTTTTGAATAGGTGCTGTTTATGTAAGAAACTTCTGATTAAGGAAACTGAAAGAAGAATCCCATGTATTCCTGGAAAGATCAACGTGGATCAGCATGGAAATATTATCTATGTCCACATAAGGTGCAGCATAAAACACATTGGGATACTGTATAGGATTATGGCATTCTGCTTTTTAATTTATGTTGGAGTAGATTCTTTAACTTGTAAACTCTTCAAGCTCTCTGTGTCAGATATTCTAGAGACCTCAAAGACACCTGCCATCCCCCCCCATCCACTGGGTGTTACTGGCTTTAAAAACATAACTGATTATTTCTTGAAGGCATTTAATATCCAGTCTTTCATTTACCACTTAAAGCAGTTTCCAACAATAATGCAAGACAGTGTACCCTAAGCTATTTAAACTCTAAAACAACCATTAAAACTAATAGCCCATCGGAACAGCTGTGTTACAGACTCTCCTAAAAGAAAGCAGAGATGGAACAGTGCTTCCCTTATTGGGCAAATTGTTGCAAAAAAGTGGAATTGCCCCCCCCCCAAGCCTTTGTTAATGACTGAGCCATCTAATTTCCCTCAAGCAGTGTAGGTATTGCTGGTCAGGAGTGGATTTGTTATGTGGGCGGAGGGAGAGGCGGTCTCTCAGGTATGTGGGTTGTAAATTGTGAAGGAAGATCAAAGCCAGTTCTGTGAATCGAACTGACTTCAGAGACATATTGGCAGCCTATGTGACTGATCTAAAACTGGTATACTTATGAGTGCTGTAAGAGATTATTTGCTCCAGTGAGTAAACGGGGTACTATACTTCGTACCAATTGCTGTTTTCAAGGGCAGCCTCATGTAGTTGAGTCCCAGAATTAGAACAGTTTATGAGCCAGATGTAATGGGGAAAAGCACTCCTAGTAATAGCACCAACTTGCTCGTCCGGTAGCAAAGTCAGGTCCAGGAGTACTCCCAGGTACTTGAAAAGCTAGGAGGCAGTGCATCGAAAGCTGGCAAAGCAGCCCCCTCCAAAAATCAACCTTACCAAGCAGTGTCACCTCCATGTAATCTGGCTTCAGTTTTAGCTTGTTTTCCTTTAAGCACCTGATGGTAGCATCCAGGCATCAGCCCAGGACTGAAACAGCTGCTTCCAGAGGCTTCAACGAAAATATATAGCTGGGAGTCATGAACATATTGATGATGCTGAATTCCACAGCTGATGTCTGTCTTGCTAGGTAGTATTATATAGATATTAAATAAGCTGGGGGAGAGTACAGAAATGTCAATTCCCAAGGTACTGATTTAGCTTCTCCCCCCACTGCTCTCTACAAAAAGGACTGAAACCAAGTGTAGAAAGACTCCTTTCCCCTATTTGGTACCCTCCAGTGGTCGAGACAATGGAGTGATCTCCCACTCCTCTGCTTTGGAAGGACGTTCTTTACAGAAGAAAGAATTGACTGGGGCTAGACTAGGAGGCACCTCTCGCTTTATCCTTAGATCAAGATGGGCAGTCATGTTAGTCTGTCTGTAGCAGTAGAAAAGAGCAAGAGACCAGTAGCACCTTAAAGACTAACAAAAATTTGTGGCAGGGTATGAGCTTTCATGAGTCACTGCTCACTTCTTCAGATACAGCTAGAATGTGTCCATCTGTCCTATATTTTGAAGTGGAGTGATTTCAGATGCTGAATGACATTAGCAGGCAAATGACAATAGCAGGTGAATTATAATAGCAGGCGTGATTGGATTAAGTGTGATATGCTGAGGGGTAGTTGGTGTGGAGAAATCAGTATTGGTAATGAGACAGGAAACCTAGGTCTCGATTAAGTCCAGGAGAATGCATTGTCTTGAGCTTCTTTATAAGTTGCAATTCAGCAGTTTCTCTTTCTGATCTCCCTTTGAAATGTCTTTGTAAGAGAACTGCTACTCTTAGGTCAGCAACTGAAAGTTCTGCAAGGTTAAAATGTCCCCCCACTGGTTTTTGAATGTTGTAGTTTCTAATGTCAGACTTATGTCCATTTATTCTTTATCCTTAGAGGCAGTCTTTTCTTTCCTGCCTCTTGTCAGTTCATGGTTACAGATTTCTCCTGGTCTGTCCCCCTCTGGCTTTAGCCAGCTGTCAGGGACTATTACTTTCTGTAGGCCAGGATTTCTAAGGAGGACGGGATAAGTTATTTGCTGCTTAAAGCTGTCTGGGGCAACGAGACAGCCTCATATGGTTGTGTCTTACCTTTCCCCCTCAGTCTTAAAATCTGAGGAGTGAGTTCTGGGCAGTCACATGACCCTCCTTGGCAGCTGACGCTTGGATTTGCAGAACAATGGAGTTCTGTAGAAGAAGACAGTATTAAGGTCTGTTGTTAGGGAATGGTTGGCACTTGGGGACCCTATTTGTATCTGTGGGACAACCCCTGGTTCCATTTTGAGGGGTTAGACATTAGTTGCTTTAGCAGTGGAGCATTTGGTGCTAGCTACTTGCGCGTTCCCTAGGTAGGCATGGCCTCTTCTACCTCCTATGTTTGGGGAAGTTTCTTCAGACTATTGGGATGTTTTTGAGGGGAACTTGTTAGTCAAGTTTTTCCCCCAAGCTCTGCATAGCTTCTCCCCTGTTCCTCATGGCAGCAGATGGGGCTTCTGACATTTTCTGACTTTACCTGTCTATCATCCGAGGCCTAGAATGGATTTTCTCATTTTCTTTCTGCCTCTTTTTTCTGCGTACAAGAAACTCACCATAAGAGGGCAGCAAAATGCAGTTTTCCCAAAGAGCTTTTCTGAGCCCGCCTTCTTTAAGTATGCAGAAAAGATCTGGAGAAATTAATGCTTATGAGGCTGAGCAGAAGAGGTGACATGGAATACTCTGCTCTCCTCACCACATTTACTTTCCTTCAAGAGATATCAAGCTGGGAAATGGATGCCCTTCATCATCAGTCTCTCTCTTTTCCCTCTGGTTTGTATTTTCTCCCTTGCTCTGTGTTTTTTTTCCCTTCCTCTTCACAGAGACAGGATAAAGAAAAATTCTAAGATGAAGAATGCGATACCTCAGAAAGGTATGGATCTGTGATCATACCCTGAAGGCATAATTCAGTCTACTTTGATGAGAGAAGCATTCACAGCTTCTGTCAGGGCATTGAGACACCCCAGCCTGTCTGTCATTTACCACAATGGGGTTTCTTCACATTGTTGGCAAGACCAAAAAGGTGGTTCCTCCTCCTTGCAAATAGCCATCTGCAGCCTTTAGAGCAGGAAGATGTCAGTTTCTCCATTTTCCTCATCACCAGGCACACAGTAGATTTCGGTCACACAAATTACATGTCCAAATACGTGTCTAGGCTGAAGGCCTCCGAGCAGTTAAACTCAAGGCACAGTTTTCTAGCAAATATTCTAGCTCATTCCTGCCTAAAGGAAGTTCTGAAAACAATCTTTCTGACTGCGCTTTTAAATAGTTGTTGCTTATCAGAATTGGGCGTTAGTTACGGGAAGTGTCTGTAGCCTGACCATACCAGATCAGTGGTAGGGAAGACAGTCTTGGATACTCTCCAGAGAGTGCCAGGAGAGAGGTTGGTGGCCTCTCCCTGCTCAGCAACCACACTGAAACACCCATTGGACTGAAGCAATCCAGAGGCTGTTCTGGATAGGTTCTAATGGAGCCTGTGTCTCCCAACCAGTGATGGCAGGATGTATATTTTCATATTTTCTTGACTCTAGAAGAGAATAGAAGGACAAGACCCATTCTTGAAGAGCATCATCAAGTTCCTCATCTGTCATTTCCATGTGGAAACCATAGTGCATCTTCACTGGCTGTCTCCCCTACTAGGATGACCTCTCTTGAGCTCAAGGATCCCCTGTCTACGTGTCCTGGCTCAGGACCCTCCACAACAAGTTGTTGATGTTCCTTTGTTGTGGCAAATGCTGTCTTTTTATGGACTGCTCTCAATTCACAAGGTGTAATCTTTGAGAAAGGCAAACGATAGATACAGTGAGGAAAGTGGATTATAAAGAAATATGAGTACTCTGTGTCGTCATTGGACTTGTCTAATTGCCCATATCTTTTTCTGTGGCTCTGGTACTGGTGGTGGTACCCCCCCACCCCATTTACATGGAGTTGGGGGCAATCCTGTGTAGATGACAAGCTATTTTGGGAGGCCCAAGGGGATGTGGGAGGTGCCTCCTAGTGCAGCCCCAGCCAGTTTTTCCTTCTATAAAAAACCCCCTTTGCCTCTTAAGGGAATTCACGACACAAGCAGATTCTCCCATCAGGACCATCTTAGGCAGGTCCATTAAGAATCCTACTCATGTTCTGTGGGGCTTCCTCTCTGGAGAGGATTCTTAGGGACGGCGTTGTTCAGACTATTTTGTCTTAACTCCCCCATGTGTGTAACTTTGGTAAAAGGGAAGGAGGGCAGAGAACTGTTACTACTGACAATTTGAGGCAGTCTGGTCCATCTGACTGGTTGCTTGTCTCTGTACACAGAGACAAATCTTGGGATGTCCACGAATACTTGCTGAGTCTTTTTGAAGAGTTGAAATCTTGGCGAGACGTGTATTGGCGTCTCTGGGGAACTATCAATTGGCTGACCTGTTCGAGATGCAATCAAGTGAGTACTGGGGTGTGTGTGTGGGGGGGGGGGGCCTTCCCCTCCTGATTCTCCTCCTCCCAAAACTGTAGAAAATGGCACTTCTTAAATTTTGTAGAATTAAACTTTTGAACACTTGGCAGGATTGAATAACAGACAGTGTAACCAGTTTAATTTTGCAAAACTGTTCTGTGATCGTACAGACTATGGTTTCACCGATATTGCATTTTCCTCCATTTTAAGAGCTACTGCTCTTAATATGTACATCGGGGTGTCCAGTCATTAGCCACCGCCAGTGTTCCCTCTAAGCTGAGTTAGTGTGAGCTAGCTCATAGTTTTTTAGCCTCTGGCTCACCCATTTTTGTCTTAGCTCAGGAAGGAGGGCTCCAGAGTCAACTAATTTATACAGTAGCCAAATCGCTCGCTCACCACTTTAATACCAGTAGCTAACAAAGTAGAATTTTTGCTCACAGGACTCCACAGCTTAGAGGGAACATTGGCCACCGCATATCTCCATGATTAGGTGCACTGCATTTCATGTTTAAGCAGGAAAAGTAGAGCTCTTGAGAGTGGTGCTGATGTTTTTCTTAATGCATCTCTCTTACAGACATTCCTGTGTACTGAATTCTCACATTGCCAGTATCACACTCAACCAGTCCTCTACCCAGGCATTGCAAGTGCTCTTGGTTCCCCCGGCATTGGAGTCTATGCCTGCTGTAACCAAAAGGTTCTTAGGTTTGATCCTGCTCCACTTCCAAAAGTAGGTGTTTGGGAGAAGACTGTCAAGACTTGCATTTTGCACTATGTAGAGGGAACTGCCAGAGCCAAGTTCCAGCAAAGAGGGGGTGGTGTTAATGCTTTGATGCCTGTCATTGAATGAGTTGGAGCAGATCTCAGCATTTTTTCCTCCTGTGAAGCTAATCAAAGAAAGTAGTAATATGTGGTGATTTCATCAGATCTTAATTTTACTGTCCTAAGAACATTAAGACGAGTTCTGATAGATCAGACCCAGCCTTCTACTTGTATTAATAGCTAGCCAGAGGATGACTAAGATGCAGGTGAGGGTCACACCAAGGAAATATTTTAGGGAGAGAAGTTGTCCCAAGTTGTGCTCAGGGTCCTCTTGCCAGTCTTCTTGGCCGGCATTTCATGGTACCAGGACAATGCCATTGCTATGTTTTGTTGGCAGGGCAGATGCAGCCTCCGTGCTGCTATCAGTTTCTGGTGCTGGTGTCACTGAGGTCCCTGGTCTGGAATTGTGCACCCTGCTCCTCTGTTCCAGTTGATGAGCCACTTGCTTGTAAAGGTAGTGGGGGCTGTCGAAGGCGACAGCCTCCTCTTCCACTGGTGGGTTCAAAATTTGCAAGCAATGATTTCAGAATAATGTGGTCCGTACAACATGCCTGCCAGCTGTGTCTGTCTTGACACTTTCCAAGGCCCATTTAAAATGATATGCAAACCTGTATGTAAAGTAACTGTACTTGCTTCTTCTGTATGAAGCTAGAACATAACCATGGTTAGGTGTTGCTTCCAAATGTTCAAACCGGGATTGGCTGCCTTGAGCCCAAAGGAAAAGCGGGGTACATGTTCTAATAAGTAAAAGAATGTGAAACCGTGATTTGGGTTAACCGTGGTTAGTGATTATGCCGGTATTAAGCAAAGCTGTGTAACCTGGTACCTCTCTTGTCTCTCTTGTCTAAATGAAAGGGGTGTAAAGTGAGGGATCATGTGATTGGCATCCCTGCTGGAGGCGAAGGTGGGGATGCAGTGCCCTATCAGACCGCCAAGATACTGAATGACCTGTGTCAGCACAGAAGTGTCATAGTAGTGCCTTTTGAAAAAGATCTAAACAGGTAAGATGTAGATGTATATTAGGGTTTCTCATGCAATTTTAATCTCTCGGATGAAATAATTCCCAGACTGAGACATCGGCAGCTGTGCAAGCTTCTGTGGTATCCATACAACTGTGGTCCATAACCTTCCTAAACCGTTGCTTCTTTTAAGTGATTCTGGAATTGGGCTGTGTGAAGAGAAGAGTATTGACTGTGATGTGCTTTTGGAGCCAAATTCACCGTGGGGTCCTAAAACAGGAGAAATTAATGCGGTGAGTAACTCTTCCCCCCACTTTCTTTTATCCTTGTCACTTCCCAGTAGTTCCAGCACTTGATTATGGGGGGGACCCAGGCATTTGCCTGTATTTATTCATATGCTACTTTTCTCCCCATTTTGAACTCAAGGCAGCTTGTACAACATCTTTTTCCCCTCCCCCATTTTCTCACAACAGCCCTGTGAAGTAGGCCAGGCTGAGAGTTTGTGGTGGGCCCAAGGTCACCCAGTGAGCTTTCATGGTAGAGGTGGGGATTCAAACTCGGGTCACCGAGGCTCCTAGTCCATCGTGCCATCCGCCACACACAACACTGGCTCTCAAGCCCCCATAAATGGAGGAGGTCTGTGGAAAGGGACCTTTCTTTCCTTCTCCAGCAGCTCCCCAGCATCTCGAAAGCTGCTGCTGAGAGTTAAGGGGCAACATATTGATTTATTTACAAAATTTATATCCTGTCTTTCTGCCCTCACAGGGCCCTCCAAGGTGGCTAACAAATTTAGTAAACAAGTATAAAGCCAACAGTCGTGATAGTCTGACCCACAAATCAGTCATTAAGACTTATAAAGAATGCTATCTATGTATTGCAATTTGAAGCACTACAACATGATAAACAAATCATAAGAAAATCCTTGAACCAAGGTACATAATCTACGTAGTCTCCGGATTATATAACAACTTTTCAAAAAATGGATCTTCTTCCGGAGATATTCTGTAGTGTACAAAAATACAATTTTTAGAATACATGCTACACCAATAACAAGAGACAATACAATAATCTTAGTGCTTACTTACATAATGGTGCAAAAGCTCTCTGTTTCATAAGTGTTAGACAACAAGTTTTAAGAAATCTGTAATATAGTAATATTCCCTTTGTTATGAAAACATACAAGATATTTCAAATTACAAAGTATTTACAACTAATCAACCTAGTAGTAACTTACATTAAATTCAGATAGGACGCTGATCTCAGTTAACATTCAGGCTCAAAATATGCTGCTATGTTTCTAATGGATCCCAGGCGTCTCTCTCTGGTGATTGCTACCAGAATGCAATTAAAGGGATCTTGCCGATTGCTGACAGGTGGTGGGTAGCACCTCGAATTGTGCCCAGAAACAGATTGGGAGCCAGTACAGATGAGCCAAGACTGGAATGATTTAGTCCCTACGACACACTGCAGAACATCTCAGCTGCAGTTGAAGGTTCCCAAATGTTTTTCAAGGGCAGCACCATGTAGAGTGAACCGCAGTAATCTAATCTAGCAGTAGTAGCAAGAAGTGGCATTTGGGCCAAATAAATACACACAGAGACTTGTGTGAGTGAAGCAGCCTCTGAACAGAGACAAATTTGCACACGTGTGTTTGTGTGTGGGGGTACCTGATTTCTTGATGCAGGCCCCCAACCCGAGCCTTGATAACATGGACACAGTTGGTTCTAGGCACAGCACTGAGATTGCAGGCCGTGCTGTGTCCACTTCTGGACAGCCTTGCATAGGTCACACTGTAGTAACTTAACCTCAGTGTGGTCAGATCATAGATAACCGTGGCCAGATCTTAGTTTTCAAGGAAAGGCTACAGTTAGCACACCCGCTGAAGGTGGTTAAAGGCGCAGCATGACAGAGAAAAGCCCCAAGCCTCCGGTCAGTAGACGCACAGGTAATAAGTCCCCTGAGCTGCAGACTTGCTTGTTGATGGATGGCTGTGTGTGCATAAAGCCACTCAGGCTGACTCCTGGATTTTCCAGCAGCAGCTCATATGTATTTATTTGTAGGCTTTCTATCCCACCTTTTTTACTAGAGTCCCAAAGCGGCTTGCAATAGTCATAAAATGCAATATTAAAAAAGAACACTTCCCCTTTAAAAAAAATTAAAACCATGAAACAAACAGACCTGTATCTGTGCCTGTTTCCACCCACCTGGCTCTCGATCATGGGGAATCCATCTTACATGGTTACTGTGGTTGAGAAGGGAACAGTTTAGCCGGGCCAGGGGCAGACATGTTGCAGTGTGACCCCTGTCTGGATTGAGCTTCAGTTTATTCAGTAAAGCTCATTTACTGCTCAGTCAGTCTTTGAGCCATCCTTCTATTGTGATGAGTTTTTAAATCAAAGAGAAGGGAGATGGGTGAGTGGTGGATGCCGCTTTACTGCAAACCAGTTGGCCAAAGGAAATCCACTGCCTTGATCTGGTGGCCTGTTGCATTAGAGGAACTGGCTACATTCAGTAGTGCTCACTTTCATTCTTTTTTTTCCTTTCAGTTTCTTTCTCTGAAAAACTGGACTCTGCAGCTGGTATGTTTATCCCAGTTAACCATATTCTATAGGGTGTGTGTGTGGGGTGTGTGTGGATCCTGCAGATCTCTTCCACTAGCGGTGTCCCCTTCCCCAGTTCTAGGAGTCTTCCCTTGACACAAGAAATGGCACCAAGAGAAGACTCCTTGCGCCAGGGGGAAGGCCCTGCCATAGGCAAGAAAGAGCTATGGGATCCAAACCACTGCCCTTTTCAATTTTAAGAAGAAGAAAAAGAAGAGATTATATTTATACTCCACCCTTCACTACCCGAAGGAGTCTCAGAGTGGCTTACAATCGCCTTTCCCTTTCCCTCTACACAACAAACACCCTGTGAGGTAGGTGGGGCTGAGAGAGCTCTTTCGAGGACTGCTCTTGAGAAAACAGCTCTGAGAGAACTTGTGACTGACCCAAGGTCACACCAGCAACTGCATGTGAAGGAGGAGGAGGAGGAGAAAGAAGAGCAGGAGGAGGAGGAGATTATATTTATACCCCACTCTTCACTCGGAGTTTCAGAGCGGCTTACAATCTCCTTTCCCTTCCCCTCCCCACAACAGACAGCCTGTGAGGTAGGTGGGGCTGAGAGAGCTCTTTCGAGGACTGCTCTTGAGAAAACAGCTCTGAGAGAACTTGTGACTGACCCAAGGTCACACAAGCAGCTGCATGTGGAGGAGAGTGGAATCAAACCCAGTTCTCCCAGATTAAAGTCCACCCTCCTAACCACTACACCAAACTGGCTCTCATTGTAGCATATTAATTGATCATTTGCATCACACTGATTTTTGTCCTGGGTCTCTGGCTTCTCTTCTTCTGATACAGCAGCTCTCAGGGCTGTGTGTTGTGTGGATGGTGGTGTGTGCCTGTACCAGGCCAGGGGGCTTGAGCCTGACGGGAAAGGCAGCCCATAAAGTAGTAAGGAAGCACTTCTGCAGCCCTGGAGCCGTGCATAAATGCCAAGTGGGAACCCAGCTGGTAGTCTGAAGGTGCATGATGCGGGGAGTTGTTTCTGCAGAAACAGTTCCGTTCCCAAACGTGCAGGTCCAGGTCTGAGCTGAAACGGCTCTGAGCTCTCCGGAGGAACGACAGGCTCTGTGTATGATAGACAGCACCTTGTGTGGCGTTTGCAGGATCGGGGCGGGGTCCTATCCAGCCTTTTGGTGAGGCATCCTTCTGGGTTTTTGGAGTCCATCAGAGATGACTGCAGCTCTGAAGAGGCTTCAGGAGAGGTTCCCTTCCGCTTTTATTTGCAGCTTTTAAGTCCTTGTTTAGTCTATGTGTTCAGTTTATGCCCCACTCCAACCTAAAAGCCCTGAACAGCTTGCGCGATATTTTATTTCCTGTAAAAACAAAGTTTAATCTGCACAATAATTATGATCCTAAGATTGTCTGGCAGCTAGAAGTTCTACTTCTTCTAGCAGTAGGCACCACTAGGTGGCGAGCCGGACTTAGTTTTTAAGGCAAGAGAGGTTTCAGAGTTGGTTTTGCCACTGCTTTCCTCTGCGTCATGATGACCCTGGTATTCCTTGGAGGTTGCCCTTCCAAGTACTAGCCGAGGAATAGATTGGAAATAATGGAAATATACATGGAAATATATTATGCTGAAGTATTATCTTACCATATTTTGATTTGTTATGATATTCTTTGCTATGATACTCTTTCATGTTTTATATTCTTATATTATGCAGCGTCTTTAAAATGTGTTTAACGAATAAAAACAAATACTAGTTGAGGCTGACCCTGCTTAGCTTCCTAGATCTGATGAGATTGGGCTAGCCTGGGCTATCCAGGTCAACACCAGCACCTTAATCTGCACAAAGAAGTGGGAATTTCCTTTTCTAAATATCCGTCTTTAAAAAAGATCTGTTGCCCAGGCGGCAGCAGCAGCAACTTTGATGGCTAGACTCGGAAGATTTGTGATGTGGATCTCTCCCTGCCCCCGCCCCTTTGGGTCTCTTGTTAATTAGCAGTTGCAATTACTTACACTGTGTGTTTTTTTTTTCCTGTTACAATAAGATAAGGAAAAAGTTTCAATAAAATATATTTTTTAAAAAATTAATTAGCAGTTTGGTGTGGCTGCTTTGGAGATCGGTGAGGTAGTTGAGGGTGGGGAGTAGGGGAAGCGCATAACCTTTCCCCCAGTTTCAATTACCTTCTGCTAGGGCAGGTACCGTTGCTGTGCCTGCCTGCCTTTGTCTTCTGCTGAGCTAGTTGCAGCTTGGAAGGCGGGGGCAATGGAGTTTGGGAGGAAAAGTTCAGCCGGGGGCGGGGGGGGCAATCTTTTTTGGCCCAAGGGCTGAAAAATGCAACATCTGCCTGTCTGAAGATGTTGGGGTGCTGGCACACAAAATTGGGGGGGGGGGACAGGGGACAATGAGGGTTATACTTGTCCAGGCACCAAGCCCCAGTGGTGCTGCCAGCATCTCAAATCTGGGCGGTGATGACTGGCCTAAGCCACGCCTGTTGCCTTCTCCCAGCTGCCTCATTTGCTTGGGCGGAGATCTGCCCCTGGGTGCCAAGCAGAATGGTCTGGCTTGCTGCGGTGAGCATATGCCTACCGGGATTGCCCTTCCCTTTACAATGCTCTTTCCTTACCTGTAGCCACTTCCTGGATCTTCAAAGCCAGCCATGTGACCTGCCAATTAGTAAATCCAGGAAAATCTTCCGAGTCCACCCGAACTACAGATCCTTTGAATTGCATCTGATTTGGCTACAAAAAAAACTATTTTGTGCAACATCGTCTTGCGACCCCAGGCCCGAAAGAGGCCAGGCTTGCCGCCACAAGGGCCAGGTCCTTCTCGGTGGCGGCTCCTATCTGGTGGAATGAGCTCCCAGAGGAGATCAGGGCCCTGCGGGACCTGTTGCAGTTCCGCAGGGCCTGCAAGACGCAGGGCCTGCAAGGCTTTCGAATAGGAGCCGCCGCCGGCACCACTACCACCAATGAGGACCGTTCAGCAGCACCGCCGGAGGCTGAGTGGCAGAGTAACATCAGGGGGCCACAGCAACCTCCCCTGGAAAGAAAGGGCATGTGCAATACGGAGAGAGTGTTTTAGTCACGCGAGATCCTTGGGCGTTGCCCATGTACTAACTGTTTTAAATTGTTTTTATTATGTTTTACTGCACTGAGTGCCATACTGCTGTAAGCCGCCCTGAGCCCACACGTGGGGAGGGCGGAGTATAAATACAATTAATTAATTAATTAATTAATTAATTAATTAAATCTTTGCGCTTGGAGTTGATCAGCCAGTGGCAGGGTCCCTTTTTCTCTGGTGCCAGCAGGAAACTTAACCAAAGCAGCAACATTCTTTCTGGGAAGTGGGGGGGGGGGGGGGTGCAGAAAGCTACATTAGAAATGTATCATATTTCCCCCCCCCATATTTTGGATCCCTAAAAGCTACATTAGAAATGTATCATATTTCCCCCCCCCATAATCTGGAATCCTGATATTTTTCAGCCAAGTATGTTTGGCTAAACTTTAGGAAGAACTTCCTGACAGTTAGAACGGTTCCTCAGTGGAACAGGCTTCCTTGGGAGGTGGTGGGCTCTCCTTCTTTGGAGGTTTTCAAACAGAGGCCGGATGGCCACCTGACAGCAATACTGAAGAAGAAGAAGAGGAGAGATTGGATTTATACCCCGCCCTTCACTACCCAAAGGTGTCTCAGAGCAATTTACAAACTCCTTTCCCTTCCCCTCCCCACAAGAGACACCCTGTGAGGTGGGTGGGGCTGAGAGAGCTCTTGACAGAAACTGCTCTTTTTCAAGGACAGCTGTGCCGGAGCTTGTGACAGACCCAAGGTCACATCAGCAGGTGCAAGTGGAGGAGTGGGGAATCAAACCCGGTTCTCCCAGATTAGAGTCCACGCACTTAACCACTACACCAAACTGGCTCCTTCACACTGATTGTGTGAATTTAGGCAGATCATGAGAGGGAGGGCAGGAAGTGTTGCTTCAGTGCTTAGTTCTCGTGGCCCTTTCTTGCACGCCTTTCTTACCACTTTATTTATTTATTAGATTTATTAATCGCCCCATCTGGGCGATGTACAGGACATAATGTCATAAAATACAAAACATTAAAATTTATGTGCAACATTAGTAAAAATTTCAGTATAGATAAAAAGATCCAGATGGCGATTTCCCTGTATTATTAATATGTCCAATTCCGGACTGCCATCCCCCCCCTTTTTTTTTCCTGGGCTGGGGGAAGGGAGCTCAGAACATGGAGGGAAGAAGAGGGGAGGAAGGAGGGTTGCCAGCTTTGGGGGTCAGGCAGCAGTTTTTCTCCAGGCCAGTTTGGCCGGGAATCCTGGAGGGTTTTTGTCATCTTCTGGGCATGGAAAAGGGGTCACTGGGTGTGTGGAGGGGGGGTATTTGTGAATTTCAATTTCCTGCCTCGTGCAGGGGGTTGAACTAGATGACCGTGGAGGTCCTTTGCAACTCTATGATTCTAGTGAAACTACATGAGTTCTGACGACATTGGCTAATGAAGAGACAGGTTTTTTAAATTGTTTGAATATTGCCTGCTTTAAAAAGCCAAGCTGTCTGGCAAGCCTGAAAATATTTAATGGTGGGCAGCAGAGAAGAAGAAAGAAAGGGTCTCTCACATTTAACGCTTCCTCCTTTATGATGATAGAAACAGCAGTTGTTGCTCTCGGAAGATGATGAATATACAACTGGGTCTGAGGTCACGGAGGATGAAGTAGGCGATGAAGAAGAAGTGTACAAGAAACCAGGTGCGTCCTTCCCTCTTTGTGGTGGTGCAAGTGGTTTCTGCCAGCCACTGAAGAAGACGGGTGAGAGAGGGGGGAGGTTTACCTTCCTTGAAAACAAACCCCATCACAGATTGGTTTCACAAAGTCCAAGTGGGCCATAGGGTTAACAGGCCTGCTGGATAGAACTATTTAGTATTTAAATTGGCATCGATCTGCACAGAGTGCAGAGAGCATGAAAAGTGCTGATCTATATAAGGACTGTGTGTAGTTTGGTGTGCTGTTTCTGCATGTTTGAGATCCAAAGCACAAGATGCCCGTGTGGCTTCCCTCTGGGACGCTTGTGGCTGGTGTGTGAATGTTGCATACAGAGGATCAGTCCACTTAAACTTAAATTATCTAGGGTAGGCCAAAATGCCTAAAGTGACCCCCCCAAGGTCATATCTGCTCAAACACTGCCATCCTAACAACACTTTCATGAGAACAAGCCCATTGAGGAGACTTTAGTAGGACTTTGAGTAAACCTGCTAGGATTGACTGGATAACTGGGTAAACCTGCTAACCCTGTGGAACACTCTCCGCTTTGTGCCGTAAGTCCTGAAATGATGTTGCCAGAAGCACTCCCCGCTATGATGTTTAAAACTGCTGGTTAGTTCTCAGCCTCCTTTGCCAGAATGCCAGTGTGGTGTAATGATCGGAATGGTGGTCTAGCACCAGAGAGACCAAAGTGCAAAGCCTTATTTGGCCTAGAAGCTCTAACTGAGTGATGCTGGGTTCTCCGTTTAACCTGATTTGCTGTGCAGCTCCATGAAGATGACAAATAAAAATTGCAGCATGTCCTTTCAATTCCAGCATAAATTTAAGTTGGCAGACAGCGTTGTTTTGTGGGACAAAATAGGAAATGGAGGAGAGAGGAGGATTGTCTTTGCCCAAGTTTTTACAGTGGCTACCTTTTCATGTTAACTCAAAAACATTCTTCTCATTAGCAGGAAGAAAAGAGAGGCCAAAGAAGTTAATCAAACAGCCAAAGAAGCAGGGGTCTTCTCCCAGCATCCAAAAGAAGGAAAAAGTATTGGAGAAGGTAAATTGGAGGCATTAAATGATTTTCCCCAAGTTATCAGTGAAGACTGAGGCCTCTCAACTGCATCTGAAAATACATTCATCTTTGGACTTTGCTCAGTACTACATGAAAGCCTATTTAATTTAGCTTTGAATCTGATCGTATATATGCTTAAAAAGGTAAAGGTTCCCTTGTTCGAACCAGTCAAATCCAACTCTAGGGTTGCGGTGCTCATCTCCGTTTCAAAGCCGAAGAGCCAGCGCTGTCCGAAGACGTTTCCGTGGTCATGTGGCCGGCATGACTAAACACCAAGGCGCACGGAACGCTGTTACCTTCCCACCAAAGTGGTACCTATTTATCTACTTCTTGCTTTCGAACTGCTAGGTTGGCAGGAGCTGGAACTAGAGACGGGAGCTCACTCTGTCATGCGGCACACTCGGATCTTGAACTGCTGAACTACCAACCTTCCACAGCCTGCAGTTCAGCGTCTTAACCACTTGAGCCACCGGAGCTCTTCAGCTTACTCAGAAGTAATTCCTTTGGCATCGGAGGAGTTTTAATCCTTAGTAAAGTGCATAGAATTGTAGCAGCTTTCTCTGTTGAAATTTTGTGATAACATGGCCTTGTGATATAATGTCTATACAATCCATTCCCCCCCCCTTCCCATTCTGTCTCAGGAAGAACTTTCGAGTGATTAAACACCCTGCAAATTTTAAACAAGTAGCACTGAGCCATGAAAGCTTTAAAAATATTTTACCTTATTTTGCGTTTCTCTCTCTTTTTTCTTTTGGCAGTCTAACTCTCGAGATGCATCTCCTTTTGTGTAAGTATTAACCCCAAATATCTTTAAAAAGCACACGGGATGTCAAAGTGAATTTTAAACATTTTGGTTGGCTTAAAAAAAGTGAACCTCCATGTTCAGGGGCAGCAAAATTTGAACCATACAACTGGGGAGTGTTGTTGCCTTCCTGCCCTCCTTGTAAGCTCCCTGGAAGGCATTTGGACAGCAAGTCTGTAGTTAGATCTTCGGAGATCTTATCTTATCATGCAGTGGTGGTATTATCCTCAACGAAGTTTATTTGAAAATCTGCAAATGTGAAAGTTATATACATTTCAGAATTTGGGGTAGATAATAAAGCTCAGAGCCCAAATTTTACATGAGAGGTATATATGTCCATATATAGTTGTCATAATCAAAATCTGAGTTTTGGCCAAAAATAATCAAAATCTTTCTGGCCAAAAATACATTTTGTATTAATTGTGGTTTCTGAATAGCCCCACATAGAGCACATTGTAGTAGTCAGGTGTGAACGTTAATCCGTGCACAGATAACCATGGCTGAGTACTGCCTCTAAAAGAAAGGCTGTAGCCGGCTCCCCAGCCATAGCTTGGCAAAGGGACAGAGGACATTTAAAGTCTCCGTCTGCAGACCTGATCTAATGGTGCCCCCCCTCCCTCCACCCCAGTCTATGAGCCTGCTCTTTTCTGGGATTTAAACTGCATTCATAAGAGGCTGACTAAGTAGTCTTCCATTTCGCCCTATTGTTGACCAATGGCTATCTTTCTTGAGTTTTGGTTTATTGGTCCTTATTCAGCTGATTTCCAGCTGCTTGTTCAGCAGTCCAGTTTGTCCAGTCCATTTGTTCAGAACACCCACTGCCTCATCTTTGTTTCATTAGTGTGAGCATGCAACAGAGTAAATGGGATGCTTCCAGATCACTGAGGTTCAACCAAGATGCTCAGAGAGAAGAAGGTAAGACTATTTAAAAAAACCTTTTTCTTGGCTTTATATGTGTGTGTGCGCGTGCAATTTTAAAAGTTTATTTGTATATTCTTTTAAGTATTTGCTGCCTTGAGGGCGCTAATTGGGCGTGAAGGTGGGATTCAGATGTTTTATATCGGGGGGCACCCAGCATGGTTCCTGTGGGTGCATGGTGCTCACCAAGAGTTTGTAGAAAGTGGGTGGGGCCAGGTGAGGCACTTGCCTAGCAGCTACTGGAGAGCCAATCAGATAGGCAGATTAAAATAATGTTGTTTCAGTGGCTGTTGCCACCACAGTGTTGCTTTTATTCTCCCTCACTCCTCTTTCCCAGTGTATTTTTAAAATAACCCCTCTTCTCCCCAGCACTTGGGCTTCCCCTGTGTGCGTGTTGCTCCGCCTCCTGTGGTAGCCACTTTGTGGTTGCCTTTACCTCCCGTGGCAGCCATTTTGTGGTTGGGCCCACCATCCTGTACCAGAATTCCAGAGGAGCCCACAGGCTCAAAAAGGTTGGGGACCCCTGCTTTAAATGAATACCCAGACAGCCCTTGATGTGTGCTGCATGCTGGCTAATGCACTTAATCATAACATCCTTACTGTACAAAAGAGTGCTGAACAGTTATGTTTTTGGTATAGATACAATCTTTCCCTTTCCTCTGGTAGCTTGGAATTGTTCAGGTTAGGGCTTTCATCCCAGCATCCTCAACAGTCTGCAATTTGCAGGATTCTTTGGGGGAAGCCATGACGGTTTAACTGGTGGGTGGGGCAGCGGGGGGGGGGGGGGGAAGTATGTGTTAGGTCCTGTGTGCAATTGTGCTGTGAGAATAGACGTGGCCATGGCTTTTAGCAGAAGTGAAGGGTGTAGCCATTTGTCTTCCTCTTATAGGGAGAGTCTAAGGTGTTAATTTGGTACAGGAATCGCCTTTTTTCCAAAATGGCAGTTTTGTGTTTCTTGCAGATCAACGGAGAATGGCTGAGATAACGGGGCACCTAATAAAAATGAGGCTGGGAGAACTTGACCGAGCAAAATCGAAAGAGAACAAAGAAGTGAGTTTTACTCATTAATGTTACAGATGGATTTTGGCCCAGGATGGGGAGCCTCTGGTCTTTCCTCTTCACCCCCTGCAGTTCTGTGACGTAAGGATGTGTTGCACAGGCCTGAGTCTTGGTCCAGTTGAGTAAATCACAAAAGGTGCACTCCACGAAACTCGTTTGCTCCAAGGAAGAGCTTGTGGTGTACTATAACATAATTTAATAGTGGATCCCTGTATGCATCCCTGCGTGATATTTTGCCTCTGGCTGCCTGACACTCTTCCTTCCTGAGCTGCTTTGGGCATTTGGTGCTGAAATCCCCCCTCCCAGAACTATCAGCCTAAGGATCTCCAGTGTCTATGCAAAGGTCTTGCTTTCTGATGCTGCTCAGGACTTCATGGCCACCATGGCAACCACAGGGCTGTCTTGGGTAACGTCTGATCCTTGAACACAGCCAGGCATACCTTCAATTTGGTGTTCTGTTCAGGGTGCGTGTGTGTGTGTGTGTGTGTGTTATCTGATTTGGCATGGAGAAGATTAATTTAACTCTATTGTGGGCAGACCATTACCTGGTGGCATTGAGACTAAACTGAAGGAGGCTCAGAATCCCTGCAGGAACGGGAGACCAGTTAGGCTGCACTGACTGCTGAGGGAGCCTAGATGGAACAGGCCTCTTGCGACCCTGAACAGCATCGTTGCCTGGCACTGTGCAGATGGCCATAGCAGCTGAGATGCTGGTTTTCTTCACTGCCACAAAAAAGGGCTCTCAGATGGGCTCTAACGTGTTGGGCTCGGCCAGAGTCGTCTTCATTGTCTCCCCAACCCCAAGAGTGACTGTGTCTGGGTGTGGGTGTGTGGGGTTGGGGGGTCAGGATTTAGGAGTAGCACAACTGTTTAAAAGTGCAGAGTAGTAAGCACCCAAGAATGGGGCTAAGACTCATCCCTATGTTGTTCCTGTTCCACTGTTTGCTAGCCTGGTGGTGGTGGAGGAAGGTGCCATTAAGTTGCAGCCAAATTACGGGTGATCCTGTTGGGTTTTCCAAGACAAGAGACGTTCAGAGGCGGTTTGCCATTACCTTCCTCTGCTTAGTGACTCTGGACTTCTGTGGTAGTCTCCCATCCAAATACTAGCCAGGGCTGACTCTGCCTAGCTTCGGAGATCTAGCAAGATTAGGGCCATTCAGGTTGGGAGATCTGCTGGCCCAGAGAAGAAATAAAGGAATCTTCTCTCCTCTTCATACCCGACTTGGGGCCAAAATGGATGGAACACAGAGAGATCTGTGAACAGGTCTTGCCAGTGGCTTTAAATAGAAATCTCTTCTGTGTCGAGTGCCAATTTGGATTGGTTCTAAGATGCAAGGGAGGGGTTTGTTTGGATTTCCACCTGCAGTTACCCTACTACCCTTTGCCCCAAACCTGACGTGCTGAAATGTGGAGGGGTATGTGTGTGAGAGAAATCAAATATAGATGATATTCGTATTGGATGTACTACCCCTTGTTCTAGAGCCGCACACTGGGTTTGACCTGCTCTTCTGCACCCTGTCCCTTGCCAGCAAGGCTGTATCTCCTCCCCACCCACCTGCCTCTGTGCTGTGCAGTAAGAACAAAGTGCTTGTTGGTAGCTGATTTCCCTGACTTGGCTTCTGTGGCTTACAGTCTGCAGCTGGGATTTATGCAAGGCTCGAGGCTCAGATCAGGGCAGCGGCACAAGCCAACACCCGCCAGAACATCCCAGAAAAAAATACAAGGTAAGCCATCACTGAGACAGAGGAGGCGAGAGAAATACGTTTTAATGACTGCTGATCGGAATGTTCCTTGTGAGACAGAGCACGCACAGATTTTTCTACAGTTAAGAGTGAATTGCACCGGCATGCTGTGTTCCTGGGCATCTGGGGAAGCGACACAGATGCATTCTGTGCAACTGGTGTAGTAAACTGGCATAAATCTGCACTGCACAGCATCTTTAAGCACCTTTAGTCCCATCAAAACCTTTTCCTGCCACTCCCTTCACATACTGGTTGTTCTAGGATTTCATCTGCCCAGTTAAAGTTTAAGAAGAACCATATTTAGTTCTGTACTGAGCTACATTTGACTCTAGAGCTAAGTTGTTGTGGATAACTTAGCACCAATTGCCGTAAGTTAATTGTGCATTGGTGGTAGTTTTTCTGTCCCATTCTAAATGTAGCTGTCAATTTTGTTAGATCTCTCAGTGCCCCAGGGTTGGCAGGGTTTTTTTGCCTGTTTCTCCATGATCCTCTTGCCAGTTTCTTATTCTGTGTGATTATGGCAAAGGACTAGTCTGCTAGGACTCATAACTTTTTTTCTTTCTTTGCTTTTTATGTTGTTTTTCGCATGGGGGTGAGACTTACTATGCGTTTTGCAAAAGTTGACCTTCCTTATCCATCCTGAGGATTCAGTGCTGGTAAAGTGCCAACATCCATAAGCAAATGTCCGTCTCCACCTTGTGTGAGCTGTTTTCATGCAGTCAAGTGGGCTTGGCTATCATTGGCGGTAATGGCCTCTTCAAGGATGATGATGGCTGCTCAGAATGTGTTATGTTTTCTCTGAATTCAGGACTAAAAACCGCTTTGGCCCAGGCCGTCCAACGTAACAAACAAACTTGCTCCAGAACAGAAGCCAAAGCACTTTTCTGCCTCCTCAGACCGCAGCGGACTTCTGCTCCTGGGGACCCATCTTCCGAAAACTTTTACTTATTTATTACCATATGCCATGTAAATTTATTATTCTGTTTCAGTGGGTGAATGCTGATTTTCTTGTATGCTTAAGTTGTAAATACACCATTTGTTTGAAATAGAATGCATTTTTTTGCTAAGCAATGGTACATTTATAAAATCCTGCGAAATGATTTTTAAACCCTCAAGTTATTGAGGAGAGCTGGGAGTGACACTAAGGGTGGTGATTATTGTATGCTGCTGTGTTTTGAGTTACACGGCTGATACTTGCTTACATCGGTCTGCATTACGTCTTGTGTTTGTATTGAAGGGCTAGCCCCTGAATTGGCTGTGCTGGAGCTCCGTTCAGGTCAATGCTCGTGCAATCTAGTTAAAAGTTTACACCGAGTTGGACTTCTCGGCCTCTGCTCTTTTTCTCAGCCTGGGGAGATATTCTAGACTCTGATAAGCAAACTTCTTTGCCACTTTATGCTGTATTTTCCTTGAAACTTGATTTATTTTGGCAATAAGCTGTGTCCACTGTATGATGCATGGGTGTTGCCGCACCTAGGCCTTGGGGGATCATGTTAGTGATGTTGCAATTGCCAGCTTTGGCATCTGTAGAGCTCAAAACAAAGAACATTTCTGGAAAAACGGAAGCTGCAGTCTCCAAGGCAACATGCAATGTAACGGAGCCCTGTGCAGGTCCTGGACCAAGCAGTGTGGACCAAGTTTAGGTGGAATGTTGAATATGCACATTTTATGCACTTCCAACCACTGAAAACTGGCCTGTTTTTTTAGGTATAGGACATTTTTTGTAGCTCAAGGTGGTACATGAAGTCTTTTATGATGTATTCTATACTTACCATACAAGGTTAAAACAAATCAGCTCAGCACGCAGAGACCAGATTAGCATGCCCAATTAGCTTCAAATCCTGAGCCAATAAAAATGTCTCGCGGCTTCCTCCCCCCCCCCCTTGCGAAAGAAAACCTGAATTTTCTTGGTTGAGTTGTTCTGTAGACCACTGAAATGGTGGATCTTATCCTTGCTGCGCATTCCTACACAACAAGGGTATTATCAAAACAATGGCTGCAAAGGGAGCAGCAGTCAGGCTGGTACATCCTAAACAAGTTTAAACTTGGAAAGCAAACACTGGACTTATCTGTGTGAGCTTCTCCGTGGGAGACTGTTTCTGAGTGAATGATTGTCAGTGGAAGGACAGGCTTGAGTTACTCTTCCCACTTGCTCCAAGGGGCGTGGCCAGGACCAGAAAAGTATTGACAGAATTTTGATAGGCGTAGTGGGAGACGTTCTCCAGTTTTGGGATGCATCAAAGTTTAAACAGACCTGAACAACAGTCTGCTTGTAAAATGATATTTAAAATTGCATCTCAAACACTTAGCCTGAACTTGCTGAAACTCAGGGAGCTGCCTGTGGACAGTGAGATCCTGGGAGAGAAGGGGTGCTCCCCTCGCTGTCAGTCTGCATTGCTGTAGGAAGGTGCTCCCAAATGGGATGCGTTGTAGCTGTATGGATGTTTTATGAAAGTCACCTGTCCAGTGCCTAAGAAGGAACATGATGATAAACTGGCCTCCTGAATATTGCATCTGAGGATGCCTAGGTATCCAGTGGACACCGTACCTCACAAATAAGGAGGCAGCCCTACGATTTTCATGCAGTGGGGTGGTGACAGGGATATGCAGTTACTCCCAAAGGAGGGGAGGATGCTGCATTTTGTAAGCTAAGAAGATGAGGCCTTTGCTCAGTCTGCTTATTCTCGGGTGGATACTTTTCTGCCCATTGGGAAAGGAGGAAAAGAGAGCCAGCTGACAGAATATGGTTTGCTGCCTGAGCCCTTGGAAAGCTACTGCTAGTCAGAGTAGCTAATACTGAACTAGGTGGACCAATAGTGCCTCTCAGAAGGTAATTTCACATATTCACAAGGGAAGAGCTGCAGTGTAACTCTCTGGATGAATGTGCCAAATACAAGCAAGATGCAGTTGTCCAACTCTGGCATATCTCCTCATGCTACCAGAGTGAAAAGTTGGTGGCAGAGCAAAAAAATTGTGGTGCATTTTCATGGGCATGTGGAAATTTTTTTCCAGTGGGCATTTAATTTTGCTCAGCCACTGCGACTGCAGAACATGCATGCATACACTTTGCAACTTAAGTGAAAATCAACCCTTGATCCTGTAGTCACAATACTAAGGGAAGTGCTAATGTTACATACCAAAATCATCACTCAGTTTGACATGTGCTTTTTAAAATATCTGTACATCTCCCATGTAGCAGAAAGTCCTAATTACTAATGGGCCTTTCCACACCTAATGTTTTACTTTATCCTTTATTAACTGCTCTTTGAATTCCTGTCTCTTTGAAATAAATGCCTGATAAATAAATATTTTGCATATGTGTAGCTACAAAAAAGCGTCTCAAAAATATTGCGTTGGAGCTGATGTGGGGACATCATTAGTTACGTGCTTTTTAAATCCATAGGTCCACTGGAGGCTTATTTTAGGGACTCCCCCCTTCTGGTGTGTTTTTCATGTCATGCTGGAAATCTCCCCCAAAATACAGATTACAGAAGACCTATATAAATTGACTGATTTCTGAGTAAGCTGCTGTTCAGAAACAACGACTAATAATCACTCAGCCTACCCAATGGCTGTCTCACAGGAGAGTGCTTTATTTGCCTATGAACAGGTAGAAGTAGGCTGTTAGCTGCGTGTCGTTCCCCCCCCCCCCACAATAACCAGTGATAGTATTCTCACTTATTTTCCCCATTAAGAGAGATTTCCCCACTGCTGTGTATGCTCAGCTGGAAGGAAGAGGGACAGTAAAGTTGACAAGGGCATGAAGAGTTGGGTGGCAGGAACAGGTGCTGGTGGAAAGGCCTACAGAATGTGGAGGCCACTGCGGTCTGGTAGCCACTGCCAAGTAGGACTGATGCAAGGTCACAGAGCAGCTATAGAAACTAGGGACGTGCGAGGGGGGGGAATTGGTGTTTTGAGGTGTTTGGACCCTTAAAAATTCAGTGTTGCCTTGAAAACCCAAATTCCAGTATCAGTATTTGTAATGGCTGAGGTGGGGTATCACCTGACGCTGCCACCACTCTGGTTCCAGGCTCCCTTGAGAAGGCCCAGAGCACCCTCCCAAAACCTTCTGACCTCCCTTTTGGACAAATAATAGGCGTGAGGACCAGGCAAAGTGAACAATGAAAATAATTTATTTTATAGGAGGTTAAACAAACGAGGTGCAGAATTATATCAGTAAGTGGGAGAAAGGAAATCAAATGCCCTAACGTGTCTGAATATATACTGTCCCTAGCTCCAATTGGCACTAGACCACTTACCCTTCCCTCAGGATGAGGGTCTCTTCCCCGCAGCAGCCTCTCCTGGCCCTGTTCCCTGGGAAGAACAGCTTTTCCTGCTGCACCAGATCTTTTATTCCAAGCCCTCCTCTTTTCCTATTGGTCAATTTTGATTCCAAAACCTCTCAGGGGCTTCTGGGAGTTGTAGGCCCAGCCTCACCTACTGCTAGTCAGGCTCCCTGGGCCTAGTAGGTCTCTGGTGACATAGCCCAGATCATGACAGTATTGTATTGGAATCTGAGTAAAATTCAGGAATTTTGAATGTTTTGGCTCCATTATACCCTATGGCAAGGGTGTCAGACATAGGGCCTGGGGGCTGGAGCTGGCCTGTCCAGGGCTTTTATCCGGCCTGCAAGCAATTGGTGTGAGGGAGGAAAGGCAAGAGGCTGCTTGGGGGGGCGTGCACACAGTGAGGTGTGTGTTCAGGTCAGGAAATGGCTAGGTATGGTATCCCTTGGAGAAAAAACTAGTCTTGCATATGATTAATACATTTATGGGGGCTTTTCTGGATTCCCCAATAAAACAATTCACTCCTAGGAGTCAATTGCTTTTGTTTGTATTTTGAGTAAAAAAATATCATAACTGAGTTTGCCTGTGTCATTTATAAAGTTTGTATCTCCAGTACCTGGCATTACACTTTGTGCTAGACATGGCCTGGCCTCAAAAAGTAACATGTCAGATCTGGCCCTTGTAACAAATCAGTTTTGACACCTCTGCCCTATGGGGTCATTATAGTTAATGGCAAATCTCATAGGGTGGGGTGTCAAACTCATTGTTATGAGGGCCAGATCTGACATAGATGAGACCTTGTTGGGCTGGGCCATGTGTGTCATAAAATGTAATGTCAGGTAGCAGAGATATAAACTTTATAAAGGACACAAACGCAATTAAATATTTTTTTACTGAAAATAAAAACATGCTTAAAACTTTAGAACTCTTGCAATATTTTATTTCACAGTCTCTGATAACTGACATCTCTTGCTCTGAATTACTGCATCAAAAATGTCTGTGCTGTAGCAAACTTGAGTATGCTGTTCAGGTGTGTATCTGTAAGCTGCAAACCTACTTTTGATGTTTTGACATTCATTACAGATATCTCATGGTCAGTGCGCCGAGCCTAGGACTCAGGAAAACATGAAATGACTGAGCATTGTGAGCTTTTGTACATAAGTTGCTTCAGGTGCTGGTCAAGAACATGTGAAGGCATTATGACACAGAGTGAGGGCTATGCATCTGTCTACAAAACTAGTGTCTTCCCAGAAAAATAACTGCAACTCCTATGAGGCAGTGCAAGAACAGAGAGACAGCCATGTATAGTGGTCAGTATCAGCCTACTATCTGGGAAGTCTATGTTCCAAACCCCCAGTCTACAAAGGAAATGTCCTGGGTGTGTCACATGTATGACTATCTGCCCACTGGGCAGAAGTCTTGGGTGTGTCCTCGGTGCAAGGAGCTCCTGGTTCTCAGGGAACGTGTGTGCTCCCTTGAGGCCAAGGTGGCTGACCTGGAGAAGCAGAGACAGTCAGCTAGGCGCACAGAAAAGACTCTCGGGGACTTGTTAGCTACGTCCCACTCTGGATCTGGCAGCCCCGCTGCTGTCAGGGAGCATGAGGGTCTAGGGGAAACAGGGCACCATGCTGAGGAT